CACATATTCTTTAAGACAGTATCATCTGGGAGTGGAAGCAGTATAAAATTGTCCTTGTTTTGTATTATTGCAGCTATTATAACACATCTATTCTGCATAAAAGAGATGCAAGGAACAGCCATCAATTCATCTGATGACATCACAAATTGCACTCCCCCGCATTGTTGCTGAAACAGGAAGAAGATGGCTGCCAACAAAAAAGATGAAATGTAAAGAGCATTTTCTTGCAAGTGAAAGACTTTTTGATGGAAATAAGTGCATAACTGTTGTTCATTTGTTGTATAGATGCCGTGATTTGATTATTGAAAAATCAAAAAAAAAATCTTAGTTACCCTTTAAAAAACAGCCAAATCCAAATATTTCCCTGATATAGCCCATGGTTTCTCAAAAACGGCTGCAAAATCATCTCAAATTTTTATTATATTTTGATACATATTGATGTCCTTATGCTGTGTAAAAATTTTGAGGTAATTTCGAGCTTAAATTTTTGAGTTACAGCCATTTAGAAAAGTGGATTTCTGAAAACTTCCCTGTACTATAGCCCATGCTTCTTTCAATTAATGGCTCTAAAATCACCTCAAATTTATATCACATTTTCTGATACATACATGTATTGATAAACTTATGCTGTGTAACAAGTGTGAGCCAATCCTGAGCTCAAATTTTTATAAGTTACAGCCATTTCAAAAATGAGGAAATCTCTTAAAAAATTACTAGTACTATAGCCCTAGCTTCTTTCTGAAAAATGGCTCAAAAATCAGCCAAATTTTAATCACAATTCTGATATATATTGCTGTACTTATGATATGTAAAAAGTTTAAGCCAATTCCAAGCTCAAATTTTTAAATTATGGCCATTTCAAAAATGAGCCACCATATAGCTCATATAGCTCAAATTTTTGTCAGTCAAAAATTTCAACAAAATCATAATTTCTTGTTAAATTAAATTTTTTTCAATAAATTTTTTGTCATTTTTGTTATTTATCCACATACTACCCACGTGAAAAAAAATTTCGTCAGTTAAAAATGTTATCAAGCAAAAATACTAGACAAATTTGACAAAATTTGGAGCTATATGGTAATTTCTGAAAATTTCTGTTTTATAGCCCATGGTTCATTCATAAATTGGCTCCAAAAACACCTCAAATTTTTATCACGTTTTCTGAAACATATTGATGTGCTTAAGTATGTACATGTAGAAAGTTTAAGCCATTTCTGAGTTCAAATTTTTAAAGTTATGGCCATTTTAAAAATTTCTGAAAAATTTACCTGTACTATAATAGCACATGCTTCTTTCCAAAAATGGCTCCAAAATCAGCCCAAAATTTTATTGCATTTTCTGATAGATATTGATGTACTTATGCTATGCAGAAAGTTTGAGCCAATTCTGAGTTCAAATTTTAAAGTAACAACCATTAAAAAGCCAGCCAAATTTTCAAAAAATGGCTCTAAAAATACCTCAAATTTTTATTATATATTCTGTTACATAGTATTGATGTCCTTATGTTGTGTAGAACTTTTGAGGTGATTCTGAGCTTAATTTTTTAAGTTACAGCCATTTAAAAATAAGAGTGAATTTTTATTACATTTTCTGATACATATTGATGTCCTTATGCTGTGTAGAAGTTTGAGCCAATTCTGAGATCAAATTTTAAAGTTACAACCATTTTTTAAATGAGCAAATTTATGTAGATGTACCAGGAAAAATTATGAAAATGGTGAATTCTTTACTTTTCATTTTTGATAAAATTTGGCCAATGTACTTGTACTAAAAAGGATCTTTAGTCTGATTTTTGAGCAACTTAAAAAATTCTTTAAAAATCCAATTTTAATCGGAACGAGCTTAAAGTTTCTACAAAACACATACTGTAGGGTGACTTTTTTCAAGGGCTGTGAAATTTCGTGAATTTTGCGGTTTTCTTTAAGATTTGCGAAATTTACTTTTGCGAAAATCAAATCAATACAGTACAAGATGGCAGTAGACAGCATAAATAATAAATTCATGAAATCGAAACCTATATAGTCCTCAAAAAAGGTGCCCTACGGTAAGTACCTGTATACATGTATGTACCAGGAAATGTCATACCCCATGCCATACACTGTATTATAATACAATATAATATTTACATGTACTTAGCTTCACTCACCATCTGTGTCCTTGTATTATTAATCTCATTCTATTATTGAACTCTTGAAACTCAGTGATCTGTATAAACGTACCAATAATATCATCAAGATTAGTGATATCATCAGCTTCATTACTACAAGAAAAATATCAACAAAAACTGAAACAAGCATATAAGTATAAAATTAAGACTAGGTTATTAATAAGTGGAAAATTTTCATACAGATAAATTGGGATGACGTACATGTACAAACAGAGTTACATACTCTACTTGAACTAGTAGGCTTTGCCCAATAATAATAATACTTGTGTATTTAGAATAAAATAGATAAGTGTATTAAAAGTAATGGATAGGTTGCTAATGTACACATGTATGTATTATAATATAATGTACTTGTCATTCTTTTAAAGGAAAGCTGCAGCATAAGGTAAGGCCAGGCCACATTTCTGTTTTATTAAAGACATTAGAGATTTATCAGTACCTGAAAGAGAAGGGTAAATGAAAATAAAAGAAATATACATAAAATACAAAAAAGAGAGAGAGGGCGGAAAGGACAAAAAAAAGAAATGGATAACCATACAAGATGATTTATTGGTGAGAGTAATACCGTAAAGGGAGTATAAATTTTTGCAAATCTTACCTTCTGCAGCCATTTTTCCTGAAAATGGCTGCAGAAGGTCTTTTTCGTGGAATTTAATTTCATAAATTTAATCAAAATGTGAAATTAGCGAAATTTATTTCTAGTGAATTATAACTCTTATATGCAGTATTTGGAATATAGGCATATTTGGCATAATTGGTGGATTTTATAATTGCCAATGTTAATTCCTTGCCAATAAATCATCTTGTACGGTATACAAAGGAGAGAGAGCACAGTATGTACAATATATACATATATATTACAGATATATATATATATATATATATATATATATATATATATATATATATACATGTACTGTATATAATGGGTAATACTGAGGGAGGGAGGAATTTAAGTGAATTGACATATTTAGTAGTAATTGGTGAGTTTTAATTTGTCAAATTTGTGGTCATATATCATTGAGCATGTATAATAATAATACAAAAATGGTGGGTCTATTTTCGTGATTTACAGTATAACTAACAATCACAAATCATTTAGACTTACCTCCACCATTTTGACAAATCCTGGGAACATTGTGTTCCTATTGAATACCAGGAGAGGTACCTCAGGTAGAGTATCAGGTATTGATATGGTGGCAATAGCACGAGAGACATTGGCGTATCCAGAAATTGGAAAAGGAGGGTGCTGAGGGCACGCAAAGCGCGATTTCGGTCACACCCCTTTTTATGGGTAGGGTCTCAAAAGCGGACGGACGGACGGACCCGCTTCGCCCGAAAAGGACGGACGGACGGATGGACTGATGCGGACCCGACAGGACCATAAATATCCATGTAAAGGACAATCATTCGTGGATAGTCTGTCTATAAGACACTTCTATACTTAGACAATAAATTTATGTACGTATTAACTATGCTAGGACCAATAGAAGAGGTCATGTTAGCGCTGAAAATGTAACTTTATCAATGCAAAATTGCTATTACAGGCTGCATAAAGCATCACAATACTGAATCATCACTTGAATTCTATTTGTTATTTTTAATAGTAGTTCAGTGACACTATTTTAATGATTTTTCTTTATTACTTGGTCCAAGTCTATATCTTTAATCAATATATTCAGAGGAATTACCATTTACAGTGAATATAAGCAGGAATACAATGTAGCGGACAATATAGGATGACTATTATTAAATAAAAACTGCAATTTTTTAGAGTAATAATTATGTTTTGTGTATTACCAACAGCAATCTTTAGTAAATTGGTTGCAAATCAACCTGATGAGACTGTTGACTGATACTTTTATGTAAGTTATTTCATCACAGCTGTACAAATAATATCTATGTTTTAATGCTATAAATTA